CATCTATCACCTCGACATCTGTAAATTCACAAGATTCTGATTGCCACGATTCTGATTCATCTGAAGATTCTGGTTCATCTGACAATTCTGATTCCTCTGACAAGTCTGATTCAAATTCATCATTGGATCCTGACCAATCCAAGCAATCTCACTCGACCAATACCTTTTCACCCAATCTAGCGGCAGCTCACAATCAGTGGATCGATGAATGCGTCACTCGCTATTGTAGTACAACCAAGTCTCTGTCGGGCCCTGAATGTGCTAAGAAAGCTGCTCAAGATAGTTTTGATGAATTGCAAGCTAGTATTTTAATTGTCTCAAAGAAGTACAAAGAAGAAGCTCGGAAGAACCCACTGTTTGAATATCCCTCTCAAATCTTGGATGATCTTCAAGAATACAACACCCAACGCCTTGAGCTTACTCTTAGCAACGCGAAGTCACCAGCAGTAAGTGCATCGTGGCTAACTGCTGCATCTTCTGTACGACGCGAAACTTCAGTTAAGAAAGTGAATGCACCAACTACTGGTGTTAGTCGAGCCAAGACAATACGCAAGCAAGCTGTAAACGTCTAAAGTACCAGGAGTTAATCTTCAGCTCAAGAGGTTTTGGATCTGCTCACCCCTCAATGATTGATGATAAACGAGTTTTTGATTCGCTTTATTCATGGGCAGTTGCAAAAAAACCAGGCGAGGTTAGTTTTCATTTGTGATTCATTTCCCTCCTCATTGTTCCTTTCCAAGCTAACATATGTACTCCTATCATTTCAATCAGCTAACACCATCAGGCCTGTGTGATCATGCAAATAATGTTATACTCCCTCAATACAAACCAAATACAAAAATATCATTAACTACCAGCTATCGCTGGCTTCATTGTCTGGGATTTCATGCTTGTGAATACAGCAAAGGTCTGTATTATGATGGCCACGAAAGACCTGATGTTGTAGAATATCGCACTCGGTACCTTGATGTGATGGCAGAGCTTCGAGTACGATCTACCAAATACGCTGGCAAAAATCTTGAACAATGCATTCCAGTGGATCCAGAACTTTTGAATGAACAAAAAAGAACCGTCTTTTGTTTTCACGATGAATCGACTGTACATGCCAATGAAAGACCAAAGTATGCTTGGCTTCCCAATAATACAAACGAGTTGCGAAAGAAAGGCCGAGGCCGACTCATCCACGACTCTGATTGGATCGTTGAGGACAGCAGCACCGGACGGCTCACAATCACCGCTCAGGACATCCAACAACTTCAATCCGAATATCGATGTGTCCCCGAATTCACTGACTCTGCAGTTGTGACGTATCCTGGATCCAATGGAGACAAGTGGTGGGACTGCTCACAACTCATTGAGCAAGTCAAGACACGGGCTATCCCAATTTTCAATTATCTTTTTCCCAATGCTCAGGGAGTTTTTGTCTTTGATTGTTCATCAGCTCACGAATCATATGGACCTCAGGCACTCCGTGTATCCAACATGAACTTCCTTCCGGGCGGCAAGAAACAACCTTTACGGGATACTTTTATACCCGTGGATGATTCAAGGATTCCACTCGAGCTTCGAGGTCGGCCTCAGTCATTACTTTACCCTGAAGATCATCCAACGAAAACACTTGCTGGTAAAACTAAGGGTGTCCGATGTGTTCTCCAGGAACGAGGCCTATGGGAACCATATGTAACAAAAGCTAAAGCGGCAGGCAAAAGCCCTGTCTTCCGCTGTTCTTCTTGTCAGTTATCCGAAACAAAGCGCGATCAGGCTTCTCGTGAGGCTCGACTCCAACGTGAAAAGGAAGCACAAGAGGCCTTCGATCGGAATGAAGAATTTGTTGATCAGACCTCCAAAGATACCAATGATCCGATGTGCTGTGCAGCCAAGATCTTAAGCTTACAATCCGACTTCGCTAATGAGAAGCCCTTGCTTCAAAAAGTAATTGAAGATGCTGGTCATATCTGTGTCTTTCTCCCAAAGTTTCATTGTGAACTTAATCCAATAGAACTCTATTGGGCATTTATCAAACACTGTAAGTTCCATTTCATTCAGTATGTTTTAAAACGACTTGAATTGCCCCCTTTTAACCAAACTCTTTTATCGTTTTTTTTTCAAATTCAAAATATCTTTCAATCTTCTACTGATCATCTCTCGACTTCAAGATTATCGAAAATACAGCATAAATTGCAAGTCTTTCAGTGATTGTAAGGCTCTGTTTGAGAAAGTACGCAAGCTTTGTCCGGTCTCGACCATTCGAAAGTACTTCCGTAAGATCGACCGTCAAATGCATATCTATCGGTAAGGTCAGACTTTCATTCTCACAACTTTGTACCAATACTGACATGCAAATCCTGCTAAAGACAAGGCTTCACCGGTGCCCAAGCAGAACAAATGGCAAAGGAAAAGATGTATCGCTCGCATCGAACCATTTCCCGCCAGGCCGGAGTGAAAATTGATGGTCTACTTAACCCTCAGGATTTGTTTCCGCTTGTTTGATCATATTTCTTTTGTAAACATTCCACTTAAGATGCTCATCATCTCTTTATCAATATGAGTTCAGCAAAAAAGCGTGATTGCTGAGTGCTGCTGTGCTTATAGGGGGGCCTAATTAAGTCACTGTAGGCCCATAGGTACTTAACCAAGTACTTAACTATGTGGTTAAGTACCTAACTAGGTGTACTTAGGGTCTTAAGTACCCCAGGTCCGAAAAGTGAGGTGTCAAAAAAAAACAAAAAAAAACCACCCACCCAATCAACTTAGCAAGTCATTATTAGCTCAAGGAACCTTCCAACCCACCATAAATGACTTATTACATGTCATTTATTAGTAGGGGTGAAAGTAGTTATCATGTGTAATTAAATTTCACTTTTGCAGAGCAGCTTTGGTTGAGACTAGCCTTGAACAACTGTAGGTGCAAAAACCCACAGGTATATAAGGAAAACTAATAGTATAAGTGAGAGAGTTAAAGTATAAAAATCAAATACATATGACACGAACATGAATTGTAACAAGTGAGCAAATCAAATAGTGAGAAAGAGACAACAACATTTCAAACATAAATCAAATAAAACATATTGAAACAACATATTAAACGCTCTCCTGACCTTTCACATTTCACTCTTCAACAAACATCTTATATAATCAAAATCACAAAACAATTCTTTGATTCTGAACCTACACATGTTGCTACTCCCTATATCGCCGGTTTTGGTTCTCTGGTTCCCGCTTCGGACATATCAACTTCAAATCCTCAATACAATTCAATAATTGGTGCTCTTCTGTGGCTAGCACAATGCACAAGGCCAGATATCTCTTTTGCCATAAATAGACTTTCTCAGTTTCTAAAACAAAACGACAAATTGCATTGGAAGGCTGCTCTCAGGGTTCTAGCTTATGTCTATCACACAAGATCATTAGGCCTTACTTTGGGTGGAAATGACAACATTCTCTATGGCTTTACTGATTCAGATTGGGCTGAAAACCTCTACGACTGATCTTCTACTTCTGGTTACCTGTTCAGACTGGCAGATGGTTTGATTTCGTGGAAGTCTAGGAAGCAGCGTACCACGAATTTGTCCAGCACGGAAGCAGAGTACATGGCTTTAGGTGATGCGGGACAAGAAGCAATGTGGTTAAGACAATTACTTCAAGAAATCAAATTTATTGACTCTTCACCAACAGTTATTCATTACGATAATACTGGATCAGCAGCTCTTTCAAATAATCCTGTTCATCATTCGAGAACCAAGCACATGAATTTGAGGTACCATTTCATTCGATCCCTAGTCAAGAACAAGAATGTTTCCCTCAAGCATGTCAACACAACAAACCAATTAGCCGACTTCTTGACTAAGGCGCTTCCTAGACCTACTTTTGAAATGATCAGGAATCAGTTGGGGTTTCAGCATATTGCTGCAAAGCAAAAGTAAGTTCTCACCTTTGTATGGCACCGGGGTCTTGCTACCAATTTTTGTCAAAACAACTCCACGGCCATTATATGAGCACAAGTTTTTGTTTGCTATGTTTCTATTTCTTAGGCATTTTGACGTATTTTTGGATTTTCTTTTTCTTTTGTTTCATGACTTTTTGCAGCAAGGGGGGGTGTTGGATTTTTCATTTTGTTTTTCTTGTTTGCTATCAAAAGTCATATGCATTTTATCTAAACACATTTATTCCAAAAGCATTTTTATATATTTCATTTCTTCATTACTACATTACATCATACTTCTGCATTCGTATTATGACACCATCATATTCATGACATCATTTCATTTTTGTTTTCTGTTTGCTTTATAACCTGAACATGTTACAGTCTTTTGAGTTCTTTCCTTTCTTTCTTATCTGACTGTATCCATTACAATCTTACTATAAGATTTTGTCAGAGTTTTTCTTTTCCTTCTATCTTATACTAAGATTGTTTTTGTTTGGCTTCAGGTAATAAAAGCTTTTTGATCTGACTGTATCCATTACAATCTTACTATAAGATTTTGTCAGAGTTTTTCTTTTCCTTCTATCTTATACTAAGATTGTTTTTGTTTGGCTTCAGTCCAAAAAGACCTGTACAAGATCGACTGGTCCGAGGAGAAAATGGATTTATGAGAGGATCTAAGAAAGGTCATTGATCGTGCCAGCGGTGTTGGTCACTAACAGTGTTGGAAATTCATGGCACATCGAATGATGGACATCTTGATCACTTGACAAGCATCATACAAATGTCTCTTTTTGATTTCTTTGATAGAAAAATTTGTATATATAAATGTAAAAAGCATGAGTTGAGACAATAAAGAATATTCATCAGTTTCAGTAGCCATCTCTTGACAAAGTACAACTGGTCTTCCAATAATTGATATCAACAAGTCATGATCATTGGAAATCATAAAGTAATAACAAAAGAATGAGTTTTTGAAAATGATTATTCTTCTAAACTCCGAAGTAAAAATCGAACAAAAAACCTTGCAATCTCTCTCAAAAACCTGGAAAGGAATGTACTTGATAAAAAAGTCACTATCTTGGTGGAATAGAGCAAAAGTGTTTCCAAAGAAATTCTTGATAAAGTGAGACTACGACATCTTTTTCTTTTCATCAAAAGTTTTCTCTAACAAGCAAATGTCAATGAGCTTTCTCTAATTCTTAATCTACATGATCTATTAGTGACCCATTCAATCACAACCCATTCTAAAATCGCTCCACGACTCATCATACCTAACCAAAAAAAAAGATTTAAACAAGATCAGTCTTTTTTCCTCTATACCTTTCAACATTTCACTTTGAAAAAGAAGATCTACTAACCTTCTTCACCAACATTAAATGGAAAGACTTTAAATGGTTTAAACCCATTACTTTCATTCCCATTCCCACTTCCATTCCCAATACCACTACCACTACTACTACCGATTGAACTATTTCCAAACATTCCATTCCCATTCCCATTCAAAATCACACTAGGTAAAAAATAACTTAAGATCCCACTTCCCACTTTCCAAACTTCAACCCTACCTTCTTCTAATCCACAAGTAACTAATCGATGACCATCAGGTGAAAAACTAGTAGCGATCACCGGTTTCTTAAACGATTCTAAAACTTCTAATCTACGTCCAGTCTTTAAATCATAGAGTATACAAGCTCCTTCTTCTGTACCTACTACTAATCTTTGGGTTTCATGATGAAAGGAAATAGATGGATAAGTTTTCACTAATTCGTGTAAGATTATCGTGGCGACTGATTGAGTTTGTTGTCTCATTTCGTTTTGGTAAGTTGGATCTAATGATTTCACTACTGCTTCTACTAATCTAGGTAAAGATGTATATAATACTAATGGTTTCTGATCAATCATACAAAAGTGAAAACAAACTTAATCTCAATCTACTGTGTGGTTTCTGTTAAATGAAATGAGATGGTGAAATGAGATGGTCACTTACTTTTCTTAACATAAAGATCACCAATTTCATAGTAGCAATCCTATCTTCGGGATCATCACTAGTAACTAAATCATACGACAAAGTAGTAATAAACAATGGAGGATTGATGATCCCCACATTCAAACAAGCTAATCTACCTAACCTTTCTAATTCGCCTTTCCTGGTTGCTAATCCAAACAAGATCCTAACCAATTCAATCGCATCAATATAATGTTGTATAATCTCAAATGATTTACTATTACATAATTCTAAACTTATGATCTGGGTTGATAACAGTTTAGATGAGTTAGTTAGGTTTTCAAAAATCGAAATCGATAATCTTTTTAATGTTTTAGTTGAAATTAATTTATAATGATCTCCTATAATCAATCCGATCAATAACATCGATCGACCTGAAACCTCTTCATTAATTTCTTCTTCTATTCCTTCTTCTAGACCTCCTTCTCCTCCATCAGTCTCATGATCTTCTTCTTCAATTCCTTCAATTTCACTTTGACTCGAATTGATCTTCTTAGAATCATACCTTTGAAAGATCCCTTTACCTTTCAACTTCCATCCATTACCTTCTTTCTTTTTTTCTTTCTTCAAACCTTTGGTTTCTTGATCTTGATCTTTGAAAGGTAAATACTTTTCCCATCTTTCTACAATTTCAATGATCCTTTGATTGCTTAAAAGCTTTAAACTACTCCAAAACAAATTTCGTATTGAAACTTTAATTTCAATGGATTCATTAAACCAATACTTCATCAAGGTACCGAAATCAAGAAACCTTCCACAAGTTTTAGTTAATTCTTCTATCACTTCTCCTGTAATTCTTTCAATACTAGGATCATCTAATAAAAGTCTCAAAGAAACCAATAATCTAATCACTTGTAAAGTTTGATCGATTCCTAATCCAATCTCTTCTCTTAAACCTTCAATTAATAATCGATTTTTGTTCTTAGTAGGATAAATTTTCAATCCATTCGAAACTAATTTATCTAATCTTTCATTTATCCCCCACGGCATTAATTCTTGGATGATTAATCTTGAGATCCACGAAGCTGATGGTCCATAAAGTGTAGTAGCCACTGCAACCAGTTTCTTCAAATCAACCGTCAACTTTCTTTGATCTAAACCTTCTTTATTCCTTAAGATCTGAATCGGAATCCATTCCTCCGGTGTCGGGTTCTGCGCCTCAAGCCGTGATGAATAAGACCTAACCAATTTCTCCTTCCAAACTTGATACTCAAATCCTTTTACCCCATCACAATACCTAACCAACACTTTCAATTCGGCATGAGTTTTATTAAACCAAACTTGATCAAAATATCCAAAACGTCGAAGATTTGGGATCCTAATCATCACTTTGATCAATCCTGAAGACTTTAATTCGAAAATGATTAAACTCCCATCACTAGTCTTAGCTATGAAGACTTCATTCTGAATCATCACAGCAAGACTTTCAATCGAAGTATCACTCAAGATACTCCAAGCCAGTTGAGTTCCATCTGTTTGCCATATTCCTATATCACCACCAGATGAGCCTACAATCGCCATACTTTGATCTTCTTCTACACAGATCGTCGTGATAGATCCTGCTAGTTGATTATTGGTTTCGTTTAAAAGGGAAAAACTCTTAGTATGGTTGTCGGAAGGAAACGATTGAGTAGTAAATCTTCCAGATGCATCACCAATCAATGCTAGTTCGTAATTATCATCAAACCAAGTTGCACATGTGATATTTTTGGATTGTGGTTCGATCGAGTCTGATAACGACGATGAATAAAGTATTGATGGGTCAGATTTGGGTTCAAGTTTCAAGATTTGTTGGCTACCATCTTGATCGTCTATGAAAGCCAAAAGCTTTGGTAAAACTTCGTGATCATCCTCTTGATCAGGATACGGTACAATCGAATTATAAGATCCTTTAAATTCGTGAATCAATTTTAACCTCCAGCTTTTGTTCTTAGTTTGATCTTCTTCTGATGTTGGTGATTGAAGTTGATAAACTTTCAAGGCTTTCTTAGTTAGGACTGAGATCAAGGAGGATCGGAGAAATTTGACTTCTACAATTTCTTCATCCTCGTTGCCATTGGAATGAGGTAGTGCATATCGAAGAAGTCGATTAAGATTTGACGAGAATAGTTGATAGACTGAAAAGGATTGATGAGTCCAGATGATCATATGAGAAGAATGAGAATGAACATCAAATTCGATTCCGATCCCGGTCGAGTTCTGGAAATCTAGTTTGATTTCACCAATCACATCAGATTGTCTGATCGAAAACTTTTGAGTAACGAATTGGAGTTTATGCTGAATGATTTGACCAGTTTCAGTGATCCCAATGATAGTAGAGTCATTTTTAAAAACTAATGAAAGGTAAGAAGAAGCTTGTTGATCGAGTTGAATGGTTTGAACAATCGATAAGGTTGGTGATCGTAAGATGATTAAAAGTGAATGATTAATTGAAAGACAAGAGAGAAATCTATCCTGAGTTCAAGTCCAAGTCAGTTAAAGAATTTCAAGTGAAATAGAGATCTTTTGGAGTAAAACGTACGTTAGTGAGAGGAGGTGAGAGTGGTGTTAAAGATTTAAAGTTGATTGAAGGGTTTGCTTCTGAGCTCAAGTCGATTGATTTGAGGATATGGCCATCTAATGTAGACAATTTGAACAATTTCCTAGAAAAGAATCCGATACAATCAGCACATGATATTGAAAGTTGAGTAAAAAGATTGATTACCCTTTGTGAGTCAAGATGATCAAAGCGTTTGAATCGGTAGATTGTTCCCAAGGTAGAACAGATTGATCCAAGATTTGAATATCAACAATGAAATCATTAGAATCATGTTTAAGATCAAGTGGAATTGAAATCAAATGATTCAATTGATCGATATTGAATTCTTCAAGTTTAGATTTCGATGTTGAGATTGGATTTGATGTAGAAGCGGGTAATGATGAATGACAAAGAGATTGAGATGATTCATTTGAATGTCGTGATAAAGCAGTCGAACCTTGCCAAATTGAATCAATAGATTGTTTTCGGTTGATTCTCGAGTGATTTGGTGTAGAAGGTGAAAGACTTGTACGAGGTGAAACTGGACTAGATTCGAATAAAGAAGAACCCGAAACCGAGACCGTAGCTGAAGCCTTTCTACCCGGATGATGATGATGATGGTGTGGATGATGATGATGAAGATGATGTTCTTGAAGAGTAGGTGTCAAAGTGATTCTAGATGAAGAACTTGATGGACGTCGTTGGGATTGCTGAGAAGAAGATGAGATGACTGATTGGTTGGTCGAAGCTGTTTCAATGGATTGTTTTGATTGTTGATGAGATTGGTTTGAGTTGAAATAGTAATGAATGAATGATGGATTTGAGTTGATAATCAATCTGATAGGTTTGAATTCAAAGATAAGTCGGTTTTGTTGTTGTTGTTGAGGATGTTGATGATGATGAGTTGACTGATAATTCAAATTGATTTGATGATAAATTGACGATGATGGTGATTGGTGTTTTAGAACGTTTTCTTGTTGATTTGGATGTGGATTGATTAATGTCATTTTGTTGTTTGTTTTGTTTGTTGATTGGAATTCTCCAGAAGTGAAGTGTGTTTGATTTGATAAACTATAAATGCTGAGCCTGCAATAGCCTACAAGAGTCGGTCCTAAATTGTATGCACAGATCCCCAATGAAGTTACATAAACCCCTGGCTGCCAAAATTCAAATACAAATGCTTCAGTTTATCATTCTCAACAAAACGAAGGTCTGACTCTTGGCTCACAAACACGCTATTATCTCTTCACTAAACTTTCGATGAAAAACCAAAAAATATCCACGTTTTACGGTGATTTCGTCAAGCAAGCAAGCTATGACTTGTCCCTTCGTGAGTACCACCGCCCAGACCACTTTGCAAAGGATGAACTCTGAATAGCTTTGAATGACGCACGACTGAAATTGATTTCCTTGAATCTGATCCTAGGTGTAGGCGCGTTCTCCAGAAAGTGATCGAGATGGTTTCGCGCTGGAAAGTCGGCAGAACTTGAACGGTATTCTGGATGTTTGATGTCAGATGATAAAGTATACTCATGAATCGTTGATTATGACTTTCAATAGACCAAAAGAGTACTTTCAAGGAGTCTGATCAAGGTAAACGAGGAACTATGATAGGAGGAAAGGAGACCGTCACTTTGGATATAAGCATATATCCTTATACCCCAATACCTTCTCTCCGCTCAAATTAATCTCAGCAAACATTTTTTGTAAACTTCTTTCCAAGTTCTATTCAAATCCAAATGGCTTCAACTCTCACTCAATCTGCACTCTTTGTAGCTGGTATAGTCTTAGGCGCAAGTACAGCCATAGTCTATAAAAATAAACAAACAGATTCATCATCAACATCATCATCATCAACAACAAATCCGAACTCAGATAGTTCAAATCAACCTATCTTTACTCGTCAATTTCATTCTGAATTCAAATCTCAAGCACCCAATCAAATCTTAAAGTTTGGAAACCCAGGTAAGCTACATTATTCAAAAAAACCAAAATGATATATGTCATAATAACTAATTGATTTTCCAACAAAAAAAAACATAATCTAGGTCCTATCAATGATTTCTTTTCTAGACAAGCTTATGCCATGGGATATGATCGTAGGATGAGAAACCCTTCTTGGACTGCCGAGCATTTAACTTCATCTAATATCCGGCCACCTAGATCTCCTGGTGGTGATCAACCTGATCGATCTCATTCGTTAGTTACAATCCATGTCTTTGGTTTGATCAATTGGTTCCTTTTTCCAAGTTGATTGATGATTATTTTATTGGTAGTAACTTTCATGAAGATCCAGCTTTACCACCTGAATTTAGAGCCAAACTTTCGGATTATTTTAGAAGTGGTTATGATCGTGGTCATATGGTGTGTTAATTTTGAATCTTCTTCACTCGATAGAATTCACTCACAAATGATTGGTTTTTTAATATAGGTTCCTGCAGCTGATGCCAAAATCAGTCAAGAAGCCATGAATGAAACATTTATCTTATCCAACATTGCACCACAAGTAGGTGAAGGTTTTAATCGAGATTGTAAGTCTTTCATTCCACTATAATCAAAACTTGTTCTGATTAGAATTTCGAATGATTTGATGACAATCTTTAGATTGGGCACATCTTGAAAACTTTGTTAGACAATTAACTACATCCTTTTCAGATGTATATGTATTTACCATTCCACTTTATTTACCAAAACAAGATCCGATCACTCAAAAACAAATAGTTTCATACGAAGTCATCGGTCTGTAATCAATGAAACCTATCTCATTTAAAACTTGGAACCTAAAATCTAATTCCTCGTTTCTTTGAGAAAATATAGGTAATCCACCTAATGTAGCAGTTCCGACTCATTTTGCTAAAATCGTTTATGGAGTCAACGGTCATCAAGGTTCATTAGGTTCATTTGTTTTACCAAACACGAAGATCTCAAATCAAATCCCATTAAGATCATTCGAAACACCAGTCGATTCAGTTGAAAAAGCTTCAGGACTTAAATTATTTCCTGATCAAATCAAATCAAACTCTAGTAAGCTTTGTGAAACGGTGAAGTGTGAGATGGTCATTAGAAATTGTTGAGTTGAACTTCTTTTTTGAGATTTGGTTTTGTGGATTTGAAAAGCTTTGGTGACTGATTCCTTTTGATTCTATGGAATTTTAGTTGATCAAGCAAGGAAACAGGTCACTGGTAATAAGAATATCGGTCCATGAGTGATAGATCTCCTGGATTATAATACTTTGAAGTCAGATCTCCATTGGAATCCTTTTCTAGAATCTTTAGTTGTCATTATACCCAGTCAGTTCAGTTAGAAGAAATCTTATAATGTAATCACACATTTATGATTAGATCAGGTTTTTGTCTTACACCCAGGAGATCACTGTACAATCTTGGAAGCATGATTGATTAGATGATGTTTGAGTATATCTTTGTTGTGAAATCAGACAATCTTTAAGTCTTGTTGAACACAAGAGACTCGAGAGTATGGCATACAGATCATCAATAAGACTTTCAATGCTTGTGAAAGACTGTTAAGTTTGTTTTTGGGAGGGATCACACAGAAATGACAGATGCGGGCGAGTTACACCCCCTGTCACCTGTGAACGTTCTGCGGTTCAGCTGAGAGACATGTCACATGAGTGCGAGTCTACTTAACAGGTCTGTGTGTAGCATGTCAAGGAAGATGACAGGCCAAATGGTTTGCAAATTTTGAAATTTTGATCATTAACTGTCACCGTATCGACTTTTTCAATACGACCACATCAAATTCTCTCGAAGGGATATCAGAAACTCGAAAAGAAGTTTCTGAAGATGGCTATCACAAAACAAGTAGAAGGTATTTACTTCTCAATCTATCTTACCAATCATACTTCATCCTAACTAATCCTAACTCTTATATTGGATTTTTTTTTAAAAAGATATCACCACGACTAATATAAATGAAGAAATCAATCTTGAAAGAAAATCAAAAAAACAACAACATCGTAAAGATAAACCATGGGATACAGATGATATAGATCATTGGAAAATCGAACCATTCGAAATGGATCCTATTAAATTTAAACCGTTTACAGAAGAAAGTAGTTTTGCTACTCTGTTTCCAAAGTATCGTGAAGTTTATTTAAGAGAGATTTGGAGTCATTTAACTAAAGTTTTAGAAACTCATGTGAGTGTTAAACTTGAGAAACGTTTTGATTTGATTTTTCTTAGAATCCTTGATTATTGGATTTACTAAACTTTCTTGATCTTTTTGGTTTTTCCTTAGGGTGTAGCTTGTGTTTTGGATTTAGTTGAAGGTTCTATGACCGTTAAAACTACTAGGAAAACGTGTGATCCATTTATCATTCTCAAAGCTCGAGATTTAATCAAACTCTTAGCACGAAGTGTACCAATCACACAGGTAATTTTCCCAACCATTTAAATTTTATAATTTGATAGGTTCTGAACAAAGTCATTTACTATTCACACAGGCAGTTAAGATCCTAGAAGATGGTGTGGCTTGCGATGTAGTCAAGATAGGTAATATCATTCGTAATAAGGAACGATTTGTAAAGAGACGGCAAAGGATTTTAGGTCCTTCTGGTAGTACACTCAAGGTGATTGATCATAAATATTTATTGGATTCTATCGGCTAGTTTGTTGATGAATCATCATCGAAGACTAACTTGATCGTCATTTTCTCGCTTTCGCATACTTGGTTTGATGAATAAGGCTATTGAATTATTGACCGGTTGTTATATCTTGGTACAAGGTACGACAGTCTCAGTGATGGGACCTTACCGAGGTTTGAAGACCGTTCGAAGGATCGTCATTGATTGTATGAAAAACATTCATCCTGTTTACCATATCAAGGTAACAAAACTCAATCACTTCCTCATTCATTTCTTCATACCTTAACTTACGATTGAGTTTCTTTTTTTTAGGAATTAATGATTAAAAGAGAATTAGCAAAAGATCCGAAACTGGTTAATGAGAATTGGGATCGGTTTTTACCTAATTTTAGTCAACGTAAAAAAGCTAAACAAAAAACCACAGCTGAACATCAAGCCATTGAAGAATCATCTCATTCTAATTCTAATCCGAATCCTCAAGCTTCTTCTAGTAAATCTACTGTTCTTCAAACTTCCCAATCTGATGCATTTAATGAAAGCATTGCACAACAAAAACAAAAACCCAAGAAAATCGAAAAGAAAAAGTATACACCTTTCCCACCACCTCAATTACCAAGTAAAGTAAGTGAAAAAAGAAACAATCCTCAAATCTCTTTAAAAAAACCCTATATACCAGTCCAAGGAATCTGATATTTTCTTTGTTTTTTTAATAATAATAATAGATTGATCAACAATTAGAATCAGGAGAATATTTTTTAAAATCAAGAGAAAAGAAGACGATTTTAGAAACCAAACGTAAAGAAGGACAAGAAGCGATCAGTAACTTACGTAAGCTTAATAAACAAACTGTCTTTAATCCACCGATGGAAAAAGAAGAAGTTAGGGTCAATCAAGTTGCACAGAAGATTGAAGAGAATCAAGTTAAGAAACGTAAAGCGATGGAAGAAAAAGAAAAAGAAAAGCAAAGTGGAGGGTCTAAGAAACGGATGGTCATGGATGAAGGTAGAAGGGCAAGGATGGAGTGATTCATGGGGTTTGATTGAACATAGAAATGATACGTATATCTGCTTTTGTGGTTGTTCGTTTGGGTTATTTCAAACTATATGCCATTTATTATGTTTTTGACTCACTCTTGCTAAGATGTAGTGGGACTCAACGGTACTTTGAATTGTAAGACATCTTAGTTGTAAATGAGAGAAACTAGCGAGAAGGGTTGCATAGATGAATAGGAGTGAGGCATGATGATTTGTTTGATGATCGAAAGATGAGATGAGAGTGTAGGAGTAGTATGAACGATGAGAATGAAGAATGACGTCATTAACCAAGTACATCCTTCTCATGGTCGATTGATAAAACAAATCAAATCAACTGAGAAACTACCCACAATAGTCCCTGAGTATATCAGTCTGAGTATATATCAGTGTGATTGATTCCGAAAACTAAAATCAAAACTATACAAAACCAAAATGACATCTTTAACTAATCTCAATGTAAGTCAACTCTGTATGACCCTTTTCTTCTTCACAATTCTACCACACCACTATGTATCTCACTCAATCACTAAACTTCTCAATCGATTTGCCAATCAAAACAGTCCGGAACAATCACAGTCCTCATAGGATCCTTCATCCATTCGATCTCACCAGAAGACCTAGAAATCATCAAAACCGGTTTAATTGTTTTTCATTCAAATGGAAAGATCATTGGAATCGAAAAAGAAAACTTAACAAATCAAGAATGCAATCGAAAAAGTGATCTGATTCAACGTTTATTGAAAAAGAAATGGATTCAAAAAGAAGATGTTGATCGGTTGAGATTCATTAGATTGAGAAATGGAGAGTTTCTTTTACCTGGTTTTATTGATACTCATACTCGTGAGTTCTTGTTTTTTTTGTTTCTTAATTTTTATGGGGGTTGGGAAGGTTTGCTTGGATGCTTAATGAGATCTATTTGAGGTTTTTAGATGCTGTACAGTATACGAATATAGGAGTTGGACAACAATACGAATGTGAGTATCCAATACCAAAACCTTTCATACCCAATCAAACCCTCAAAACTCATTGATTTCTAACTTAAAAATTTGTTTGATGACGGTTTAGTACTTGATTGGCTTAAGAATGTAACCTTTTTAGAAGAAACAAAGTATTCATCTGATGGTTATTCACAAAGGATATTTGAAAAAGTGGTGAAAAGATTATTGAATTCAGGTACCACTACTTGTTGTTATTTTAGTTCGATACATCTTTCGGCTTCTAAAGTTTTAAGTCAAGTTTGTTTTAATGCTGGTCAACGTGCATTTATTGGAAAATGTAATGTGAGTTGGAAAGAAAAACAAAAAACAATTGGGATTTTTTTGCTTAATTTGATATTTTGTTTTTGGTTGTAGATGGATCGGAATGAAACATTTGAAAGTTATAAGGAAAATTCGGTGGAGGAATCTATTAAAGATACTATTGAACTTATTGACTATATTCGACAACACTGCGTTCCTGAGCTTGAAAAAGCTCATAGGACCTCAATACCTGATCATCCGCTCAAAGATGGGTCGTTGGCCAATTCAAAATGTGTAGAGACATCACTTTCCAAGAAGGAAGGTTATTCAACAGCTCTAGTTCAACCGATCCTAACGCCTCGATTTGCAATCTCATGTACCGACGAACTCTTACGTCAACTAGGCCAACTACTCCAATCAGATCCAAGCTTACGATTACAAACCCATTTAAGTGAATCGAAATCAGAAATCTCATTTACCAAATCATTATTCCCCAACATAGGAACATATACCGAAATATATGATGAATTCAAGTTACTTACATCACGTACGATTTTAGCTCATTGTATACATTTAGAACAGAGTGAAATTGATTTGATTAAGAAACGAGAATGTGGATTAAGTCATTGTCCAAGTTCGAATTTTAATTTAAAATCTGGGATTTGTAAAGTCAAAAGATTATTGCAAGATGGAATTGAAAAGATTGGATTAGGTACAGATGTTTCGGGTGGTCATGGGATTGGAATCTTGAGTTGTATAAGAGATGGAATGATTGCTACTAAAGCTTTAGGTTTTAATGATCATGATACTCCTTTGAAAGAAACGCACGAGATTCAAAACAGTTTACTTTCGATTAAGAATTTGTTTTATTTAGCTACTTTAGGTGGTGCAAAGGTTTGTAATCTTGAAGAACGAATCGGTAACTTTATAGTGGGTAAAGAGTTTGATGGGATTATTGTTCAAACTGGAGTTTCTTTTGATCCGATTGAAAAGCTTGAAGATGATGAATTGATTCGATTTGGATTTGAAGAATATCAGGATGGATGTAATCCGAATTTTTTTATTGATGAATTTCAAAAAGAAATTCAATTGAATGATTTATTTGAAAAATTCTTGTTTACGGTTTGTAACTTTTTTTATTTGGGTTTTTTTTGATTTGAGTGATTTAATGATACTGATTCTTTTTTTGTGGTTTGGGTGGTTTGTTTGGTAAACTTTTTTAGGGTGATGATCGGAATATTGCTAGTGTATTTGTTAAAGGGAAAGTAGTGGGTGGTGCAAGAAAAAGTTTGTTTTAAGAATCATTTTTTCTCTTGGTTGTCCTAGAGGTTTTTTTTCTTTGATTTCTTAGTCCTCATTCTTTCTTGTTTTCTCTTCTCTCTTTTTAAAAGTGAAGATTTGAACTTGAGAATGATTGTAAGATGATCATGGATTGATTTTTCTTTTCTTTTATTATTGATTTGTAAAATTTCTTTATAATTTGATTAATAATTACTTGAATCTTTTTTGAACAGACATCTCTATATCATCTTTTTCTTGAGTGTGTTGTATACCATTGTAAGTAAAACAAATTGGGACCAATAGTGTAAGAATTGCTATAGATTCTCTATGAGATCTTACCAAGAACTTCCTACAGCAACATAAAAGGTTGTACTTTGGTACTTTTGCATCAATCTTGTGCACCTATGAGACAGCGGAGTAGCTGATAGATATTGTGATTGCGTGGTCCAGCTACAGTTGCGGTTTGCCCTGTTAGAAGGTCCGCACCGTTGGAAGTACTCTCCTCAATTGAACGGAAAAAAGAGGACGAAAAGTAAAATGTCATCTAATTTGAAGACTTGTATTTAGATGTCTGAAATGGGGGCAAGATACGACTTTGGCGTAGCTCCAGTGGCGGGAGTTTACTTTCCACAAGATAAAAACGCTTTCTCGGGGGTATGATACTTTAGCTACGCACAGTGAATATTTTCAAATCTTCTTATTCCCAAAGATACTTGTAGATAGGGTATTTGTTTCAGTGGGTTGATGATCTTTTGCAACGATTGACATCAGATCTTGTCACACAAAGATATTTCTCTCAAATCTCAGAGCGAGTCTAATTTACATCAAGGTTCACTGAGGCTCTCATCATTTTAGAAACCGGGTCAATTGGGCACGTTTTAGGAGTTTAGTAACAAACAATAACGAGTTATCAATAAAGCAGACCCAAAATGAATAACAAAAAACCAATACATGTATATTTTTTTCACAAACGATTGACAGTTGAGAGAAGATGAAAACTGTTTTACAAAAAATAATAAAGACAAGGAGTGTACGTGAAGAAGTTGATAAGGCAGTTTGAACAAGATATTCATCTAGAGAGAAATTGATTACAATTTTTATCATCCTGGTGCATTCCTTCACCACCAGGACCTACGGCGTAGTCATCTTGCTCTTCCTTAAGTGAACGAACAAAGACGGAAGGATCCGCTAATTCTCATGTCCAAAGATCATAGACATGGAGGAATAGAGAAAATGAGAGGATGTGAAATAGTCAAGATCAAACTATACATGATGAAGAAATGGAAAGAAATCAGTAAGCAACTCATAAGAATGAAAGGAAAGAAGTGCTCACCTCAATTCAATGGAACAAAGCCCAAGATGTTTTCATCTACATTCACCGCACAAAATTGAGCTGTGATTGAAATCGAGCAAAATCAAACAAATCAGTAAATGATCAAATGAGAAGAGGAAGGGAAAGACAAGGAGAAGGAGACATACATGGTGAAGAGGTAGTGTCTGAGAGGTCGAATAGAACAAAGGGCCTCGATACTTCGACTTCAGATGATTCAGAGACCTCGAATAATTGAATCGGGGGTACATATTCTCTAAGACGAGGCTCATAGATAGTACGAAGAAAGTCGGGGTCCTGCATGGGAAAAGGTGGTGGTAAGTTGGTCAAAGGAGGTTCAGTAGGACGAGTAACGTTAATCAAAGGAGCCCATAAACAAGCGATAGGTGGAGAGATGGCAGGATAAAATCGATGGAGAGGAATGTCGAGATCTTGGTTACGAGAGTGACGATCCATCATCCAGGATAAGAAATCGATGAAGGAAGAGTAGAGAAAGTAGAGGAGAGGAAAGGTGAAGGTGGTAAAGATAATGTCAAAGACAAAGACGGTGAAGAAGTTGGTGACAGGATGAAGTTCGAGATGACCAAAGTTTAATAAGGCGGCGTGAAGACAGAAGGCAAAGACCAAATAGAATGGAAAAGCGAGAAGACTATCACGAAAGGAAATCTTTTTAAACTGGGGAAGAGACATTTTTGAAATCAGAGAAGTTTGTTAAGTGAGATTGGAAGTGGAAGGGGGATTGGAGGAACGGAATCGGGAGTTGGTGGTACGGATGAAGAAGTGAAATTCGGATCGCTCTCAAAGATGAGCGGTATTTATATGGCTCAGATACTGAGTCGCCGGATCAGCTTCAACGCGCGTCACGTGAGTCATTATTTTTGTTTGGATCATAAAGCTTATATCCACGCGAAGAAATACATATGTACTGATTGACGCGAGCTGATCAGTCTGTGTCGGATAGAAAGATAATAATGTGATAAAGGTGATATAGTTGCCCCTTCTCGACCTCAATTGTTGATACCCACCTCCAGCTTGCGTCAATCCACTCTAATGATACATTTTGATAATTCAAACTATTTGAGTCCAGAGGTTGAAAAACATGCTTCCCTCAAGACCGAATGGATTATTTAACCAACGTGTCCATTCACTAATTTGGATTGTGGAGCTTTCATAATACTCCCATGACGATTGACCGAGCGTTCTAGTACTACCTGCCTCTGTCTGCAGCTGGGACCTTTTTTCTGGCGAATCTTTCAAGGGAAGACATGCAAAGAGATATTTCTCTCTCAATCTTCAAACTCAACTCGTGTTCTGATCATCAAAATCATCTCCGATTCTCACAGGGCCGATAGCTTTTCATTGATTTCTCAAAGATCTCAATGAATGTTGCGTAGCTAGGCTAAAATCTATTCTATTTCTGCTTTTTTAATGCTTCTCATGCATATCATAGACCGTGATTTGTTCAGCTTTATATTTACAATGAGGTTCGCCAAACAATTCAAAATCAGCAGATTGTGCCGAAAGCACAATGCCTTTTACTTCAGCGAGGCTTAAGTGTCGCAGGAGTACATGGTATCTATCCGGAAGCCGCGTCGCTTGAACACTATAACTCTCTCTATATAATATTTTCGATAGAACAAATGATGAAAACGCAACCATATAGGTGAGAAAGTGTGCATGTGCGGCTCTTGGATCTGCCGACTTGGTGATCAGATGGCTGGTCCTGAAGCATTGCACGGTAACAGGTAGTTGGGATCGACAGGTGTAAGGAGTCATTGATCAGAGTATAAAATTCAATAGCCCTCGCTTTCACTGAGGATTTTTCTTCTTACTTGGGTTGTATTGCTTCTAGGTCAGACATATAATTCAAGTTTATGAACACAAATCGTGCGGAGGCAGGAGGGAATTTGTTTATGTATATACATATATGAATTTCATATCCAAGTTCCACAACACGATTGGAGTCCCCACATTCATTATCTCCTCTTATCAGCCAGAAAAGCTATCCATCAATGATTAGAGTTATCATACAATTTTCAGAACGTATCGATCCATCGTGGCAACAGAGTGATAGGTAGGAAGACCATGAGAGATTTGTCCGTGATCAAGATAAAACTGTGTCGTATCCCGACCTCATCAGGAACCCATAAGAGATAATCTATTTATAAGAACTAGATGACGGAGAGGTCCTGAACATCAGACTACTTGAGTTTTCCCTGGTTTTCTGTCACATAGCGAGCCTTCCCATACCGATTTAGTGAATTAGATGAATTTTTTTGACATGAGATGTTATATTATCGATCAGATATGTAAAACTACTCAACAAAAAATAAACTCACAAAGCCTTTCTTGACAACTTGAGACTTTCTTATCACACTTTTTTGACTTTAGTAGCCAGATACGTTCTTTTGAAGAAAAAAATGGTAAAGTTTTAAAACCTTGATCTTAGTTTTAAGGTCTACTTTGAACAAGAACTGGGAAAAACATGTATGTCTTAAAAGAGTTTCCCATCATTTTGGAGAAATTTACGATTCGTGGGATTTTCTGAGATTCTGAGCTGGAGTTTCTTGTGGCAGTTTTGATGGTGTAAAAATCATTTATATCCTCAAAGCTAATCAACTTGAATGAATCGTTTTGATCTCAGAGTCCAGTCCGGTATTCCGTATTTCGCATTTATACCAAACTTCCAAACTGAAACTGGAAGAGGAAGTTCTGAATCGTGTATATCTGAAAAGTCATGGGATCTTCTGAGGTTCTGAGTGGGAGTTTCTTGTGGCATTTTTGGTGGTGTAAAAATTGTTTATATCCTCAAAGCTAATCAACTTTAATGATTTGATTTGATCTCAGAGTCCCGTCCGGTATTTCGCATTTATACCAAGCTTCCAAACTGAGGCTCGAAGAGGGAGTTCTGAGGGCACATTCTGCTTCAGATTTACCTAAAGTTTTACACTTCAGTTTACTGATTACGGTGTTGATGAAGTAGTATGATTTCTACAAGCAGCGCAGCGAGGCTAGTAAAACAAAATCAACTTTTGTTGATTAGACTAACGAGTCATGATAATTGAGATTACTGTGATCAATCTTCTTGTCTCAAGAAATCCAAAAAGAAGGCAAGAAACTCCAAAGCTTCAACATCTGCCTTGACCCGGAATGGTCATATCTTGTATTTTAGCACAGCTCAGTTACTCATCAAAGAAGTATAAGTCTCATGCGATTAACAACATTGCTTGTAAGGAATTGTTCAGTTTGAGCTGACTGGTTTGTGAGCTTCGACTGAAGTATCTTGTCCTGGGTCTCTCATTCCCCGGAATATCTGCATTCTATCCGATTCACAGATGATTGAACAGCCTTACGCTAGATGAGTAGGACAATGGTTTGTTTGTTGCCCTCTCTCATCGACAAGGTATACACGAGTCTAAGAGGAAGTAAAGGATTTTCCGCCCAGATTTCCGATCACACGGAGTCCGAACTCTGTTTGCTATTATCTCGGAGCTTTCTTCTTATTGATAGGTATTAAGGCGTATTCAGCCCATGGAAACAGTCCAAAATGCGATCAAGAGTCGTATGAATGAAGCAAAAGTTGATTAATAGCCTTAAGCTGAACCTCACAGCTCCTAATCCAAATCCTTCCATCTTCTCTTTGGATGCGTTTCACGGTCAGAAACACATGACAGGTACGCAGGTCATTGAAGATGGGTAATGATTTGTTTTGTTATTAAAACTGCATGGATTGAGTCCACTCGAGATGATATGGATTGTTCAAATGAGAGATATAGTGTAAGGAGTTCGTTCAACTTGAGAAGTACTCCTGAAACTAAAATACCAAAAGGGTGCAAGGAAGCATCCAGATGAATTGTTAAAATTTGAATGTTTGTTGATTGAGTTTTTAACCCCTTAACGTCGACTGTCAGTCTTGAGTAAGTAAGTAGTACTTAAGCTTTTGATTACCTTTCATATTTGGGTCAAGAGGGTGGGGAAGAGTCAAGGAAATACCAGCTCAGCAGTCAAAGTAGCACTTCATCAAACCAATCAATCAATCAAGTAAGATGCCAAAATCAAATCAAACCAATTCACTCAAACCTGGTTTCTCAACTGGTGGTTCATTTCAAGCTTGTAAGTTGATTGACTCGTTCAACTCATCGTTCCATAATCAATATACTGACCCAATCTCTTTCATGGTGAGTTTAGTGGCAGTCGAATCAATCGAATCAGATTCAGAAAGCGATTCACAAACCACTCCGATCATTCCATCACATCGAACACCTTCTACTGCCATCTCAACTTCAACCAAAAAGGGACGCGCCAAACAACGTGCTCGTGATCGAGCTCGTAAATCGGCTGGTACCTCGACTTTATCTGATCCAACTGATCTTTCAACTTCTCTGGTCACTCCAATCAATGGTACAACACTTCGATCAGGTAGAACTATCCTTACCCCAACGACTTCTAAAATCTCATCTCTTCCTACAAAACCAACCGAATCACTTCATGAAGATCCAAAATCAGAACCAGTCGAACCACTTCGAGTACCATCACCTTCACCTCCATTCCCACCACCTGAAATTCAAAGCCCTACGAGCTCTAGCTCAGTGAGTATGGTCAATAGTTTATCTAGTTCTCCAAGTAGTACCGATCTAGATGATGAAGAAGATGATTACGAAGAAAGTGCGCCTTCAAGAGCAGGAGAAGGTCCAGAAGATTTGAAAGCACATCAATCAGAACGAGATTCGACTCTGGTGATTGATCCAGCTGAAAAATGGAATGAGGTCTATAATCCAAACTCGGAAGAGACTGCTAAAACTCCTACGATGGCAATGCCCAGTACGATGGAACCTGAACAAGATCTCACTCATCAACGTCAAAAAACGTCCGATTCATCTCCCTTGGCCACACCAACAGGTGTAGCAAATGACGCACAATATGGAGCTGACCATAATCCTACAAAGAAATGGCAAGCAGTCTTGACTCGAGTGATATGGAGTTTAGTCATGGTAGGAGTCTTTGTAGGCGAGTACCAATCAATTAAAAAACATTCCTACTTTGGTTTTTTGAGAATGGTTAATATAACACTGATACGTGAAAATCTTCATGAAACTTCATAGGTCTAATGGCCATGGGACACGTCTATCTCATCGTCTTGGTCTTCATCTGTCAATTCTCAGTCTTTAGAGAAGTCACCAACTTATTTCAAGTAGGATATAAAGCCTCAGCCAAAGAACATGCCAAAAAACAAGCGATCATGCTGGCTAGTGGACATCGAATCAGTGCGGCTTCAATCGAACGTAAACGAATCAAAGATATCGATAATAACCGATGGAGTAAAGTGATGTCCTGGTAAGATTTGAACAATATCTCCCAATCTACTTCTCACATTCATTTAATCTTTTATTAACATCATGGTGAAAACTTTTGTAGGTATTTCTTTTGTGCTGTGAATTATTTCTTATATGGAGAATCGATAATTTATTATTTCAAACACATCGTTTTCATTGATGCATACCTCTTACCATTCGCACGTCATCATCGATTTATTAGTTTATTATTATATTTGATTGGTTTTTTGGCGTTTGTGACGAATTTGGTCAAAGGTCAACTTAGAAGACAATTCGGTTTGTTTTCTTGGATTCATATGAGTTTATTACTTATCGTTGCATCCGGTCAGTTTATGGTCAATAATATTTTGGAAGGAATGATTTGGTTTTGGGTTCCGGCTAGTTTGGTCATCATGAATGATGTTGCTGCTTATGTCTTTGGTTTGTCTTTTCTTGTTCTTTTCTTGTCGTTTTGACTTGATTTGTTCTTGTGTAGAAGGGAAATTGAGATCTCATATATATTCTTTGTAGGGATGTTGTTTGGAAGACATCAGTTGATTAAATTGAGTCCTAAGAAGACGATAGAAGGATTCGTGGGTGGATACTTTGCTACTGTGATCTTTGCAGTCCTGGTCAGTTTTATTTTCTTACCCGGGTTATATTAGATCGTATTGTAACTGATGATGTTTTACGTTAATTAGTGGGGAACTTTATTCATGGGTTGGAATTATATGATTTGTCCAGTACGAGACCTAGGAGTCACAGCCTTCTCACCAGTGGAATGTGTACCCAACAATGCATTTGTTTGGAGAGCGTTTGAATTCCAAGGTCGAACGATTTGGTGGACACCGTTTCAAATTCATTGTATGGTCTTAGGAACCTTTGCTGGATTAGTAGCACCTTTTGGTGGATTCTTTGCTTCTGGATTTAAAAGAGCCTTTGGAATTAAAGATTTTGCTGATACTATTCCGGGTCATGGTGGTTTGACTGATCGATTTGATTGCCAGTTGAGTCGTTACCTTTTTTTTTCTTAATCTCTCATTTCCTTACGAAGATAAAATACAAAACTGATTCATTTTTATCTTTTTGTGTGATTTTTTGATTTCAAAAAGGTTTATTATGGGATTATTTACACATTTTTATTATACTTCATTGGTTAGAGAACAAAACGTAACGGTTGGAACGATTTTAGAATTGATTGCATCTTCTTTAAATTCAAGTCAACAAATCGAACTTTATTCAGATTTAGGTAAAGTTTTAATTCAAAAAGGTATCCAATTTGATTGATTAACTTTTAAGTACAACAGATCTATTGAATTGATTTATCTAAACAAAACAATTAAAACCAAAACCAGTTCAAAATTCATGATTCTTTTTTTTACATACTTGGTATATTTTAAAAAAGTTTCTTTTCTCTTTATATCAAATATCAAATATCATTTATCATTTATCAAGTATCAGATATCAAATCAAGTGGGTTTAGGAGTTTGTAGGTAGAGTCGTTGAACAGAAAGACGTTGTGAGTTATGAAGATACAAAAAAAAATCAGACATGATTTTTTTTTACAAAAGAACGATTTTGTATGTTGTTTTTGTAATTCTGTTTTTTACAAAAAAAAAGTATTGTTTGAATGATTATACATATCTCCTTTTTATTAGTTTATTTAGTTTATTTTGTAGATTTGAAATTGAAAATGAAAAAGACAAAAGAAAGAGATGATCAAACTTATTGGGTTTTGGAAATCTGTATCTGATTTGTTTGAAAAAAAAGTCATTTGGATCTGATTTGTTGGAAAAGAAATCATGATTATAGACATTTATCTTTTTTTTGAGTTTTCCTTTTGATCAAGTCATCAAGTAATGAAACTGAACATAGTTTCTGCTTAAAGCAAGTGGTCTACATATCCACATGTTTGTTTGATTGTTTTAACAAAAGACCTTATGATTGGTAGCCCACAAATAAGATGTTTTGGGTGTTTTTTGTTGAACAAGCAGCTGAAAGGCATTTTCAATAGTCCAAGGCTTCAAAACTCTTGCAGCTGAATGCGTCATACCTTTGTAGGCTAGAATTCTGCTGTCTGAAGTCTGAAAGACAGCTCACTCATAAGGAATCTTGCATCTGAGCTGTGTTACTTGAAGAATCTTTTGATATCTCCAAATATTCCCAATATCATCATCTCAGCTCCTACTATACCTCGACCATTTCTAAAATCACCAGATGACCCGCTTCATATGAACCTTGCTTACTACATGTCTTATTTTACACCTTTCTTAATTTCCAACTGTTGCATATCTATTTGGGCATGTTCAAGGACTACAATCTGAGCAACTGAATTAGTTTTCCACAGACTAGAAAATACCAAAATCTAAACATAATCAAGAATTCCAATTTTTTGAAGGTTGTATACAAATATGATAGAGATACAAAAAGTTTAAATTTAAAAACAAATCTCAAAAAAAGAAAAAGTTATTACAAGAAAAACAAATCCTTTTGAAATGTATAAAACAAGTCTTATTTTTCTAATTGAGATCTAAAGTTTAAGTTTGAATTGAAGTTCGAGTTGATTTTGATTTTGACTTTGATTTTGATTTTGATTTTGATTTGTGTGAATTAACCAAGATTGTAAAGCCAAGATCAAGGAATCGATTTGATTCAAACTCAAATCAGAATTCAAACAAATCCTAACCAGTTCATGACCGATGGGTACAGTAGGAAACCTAATAGGTCTCACTCTAATCTGATGATTTAATAATAAAAACTTTGAAAGTTGAATAGGTTGGTTAGTATAAATAGGAAAAATAGGTGAAAAGAATTGGGTTTGAGTTTGGGAATTGGTTGGGTTGGTTTTGGTAGGTGGATGGATTGAAATTTTGTTGGATAAGGATCGGTTTGTGCTTGTTAGATTCTCTAGTTTAGTTTTTAAATAAGATGACAAGGTTTGTAGTTGAAGAACAGCCTGAAAGATCATTCAAAGTAATACATTGTCAATTCTAAAGAGTTGAAAACAAAAAAGAAATATAGAGAGCTTGACTTACTTTAGTATGATGATCAGATTGAAAATGATCAATGACAGTTTGAATAGCAATAATGTTCATATGAGGTAACGTACTAGAATAAATCAATGGTCTAGAATAATTTATTAAATAGTTTCGAATCAATGAACTGGTGATGACCACTGCACCAGAACAAGCGGCTGATTTACCAAAGGTATATAATCTAATCAAACAATGATCTTGTAGGTTTAAAGATAAAACTAAACCTTGACCTGATTGATCATATAAACCTGTTGAATGAGCTTCGTCTATGATTAAATGAATGTTATCATTTTGATTGAATGGTTGAATGATTTGAACAAGTTCTTGGATCGGACATAAGTCACCATTCATCGAATAAAGTGATTCGATTCCGATAAACAGATTTGATTTCCCGATTCTTAAATCTTGGTCTTCATTAAAAGATTTAGCAAGTTTAGATTTGAAATCAGATAAATCATTATGTTTGAATTTGATTCGATTCTTGGGCTTGGTTCTTGAAAATCTCATTCCATCATGAAACGAAGCATGTAAGAATTCATCAAATAAAATATAATCATTTAAACTTCCAATCGTACTCCAAATACTCAAGTTTGCATCATAACCTGAATTGTATAATAAAGCTGATGAACCTTTAAAGAATGAAGACAAGGTTGATTCTAAATTTAAATGTAATGAAGTGTTTCCATCTAATAATCTAGAAGAACTTGGACCGAAAGATGAAAGTTTAGAATCTTTTAGATTAGATTGAAATCTTTGATTTAAATGGTTTGATTTAGAAAATGATAAGTAATCATTTGAAGAAAAGTCAATGATCGAACTTGATGATGATGATGATGAAGTGTCTAGTGTTCTTAATGATGAACTTTTGATTCGGTTTTCTAAAGTTTCTTGAAGTCTTTGGTTTAATGAATTGCTCATTGTTTGGGTATCTTCTTGAAATCTTCTTTCGTTATAAGGAGACCATGAACCTTTTTCGATGTTTTGCTTTAAAAAGGTCAAGGAATCAAAAAATATCAATCAACTCAACCAATTCTCCATTGAACTTGTGGGACCCCTGTCAGCTTGGGCCGGGGCTGAATTCAATCGATCATCGGGATGCGGACTCGGAGTACCCGTATTGGACAGGGCTTGGCAATTCGGATAGTGAAATACCGTCATTTGAGAAATTGATCAAGAACCTTCAAGATTGGAAAACACATCATAAACCAAAGCTATGGAAGCTCAACCATCAGAACAACCTACTCCTTCAAGTTCAACTTCAAATACTAACACCACCAATGATCAAACCCAGCCACCACCATCACCCTCATCACTAGATCCAAGGATCCATTTTGATCAGACTAACAATCGATGGGAATTCGAAGCAGATGACGGAAAAGAATACGAATGGATCGAAGCCGCTCAATCATGGGTACCCATCATAGATCAATCCTTATGGACAGCTCAACAAGCTGCTTATAACCTACATGGTCATCCGGATGATCAGATAGTAAGCTAAGATCAATCAACTCAAACAGACATCCGAACCATGAGTTTTTTCAATTTGTTTACTTTGAAAATCAATGGAACATCAAACACAGAATTCTGATTTAGGAACCGATCTAAAAAAAGATAAAGAACAGATTAAACTCGAAAGGAAATTGAAGCGACAACAAGCCAATGCAGAAAGAAAAGAAAAACAAAAACGAATGTTAGGAACAGAAGATGGTACAGGAAAGAAAAACGAAGCGGTTAGGAATACGGCGGTGTATGTTAGTCGATTACCTTTAGATGTAAAGATTGATGAGATCCATGAAACGTTTTCGAAAGCCGGATTGGTTTTGGTAGATGAAGAGAATCGACCAAAGATCAAATTGTATGAAGATGAACAGACTGGAAGGTTTAATGGAACAGCTTTAATTGTTTATTTGAAAGTCGAAAGTGTTGAATTAGCTATTAAATTGTTTGATGAATCGTCACTTAGGATAGGTAAGAGTGAATTGATGAAAGTTTCAAGAGCTCAGTTTAGTGAAAAGAAATCGAATTTGAATTCGACGATCATGATGAATGATTCAAAGAAGAAAAAACAAAAGTTGGCAAAAAAAGTAGATCAATTGAAATCTAAACTTGAAGAATGGGATTCAGAAGATGAAGAAAGTTTGAAGAAAGATTCTAGGATGGTCGTTTTGAAATATATGTTTACGGTTGAGGAGTTGGCTCAAGATCCAAGTTTGTTGATTGATTTAAAGGAAGATGTAAGGGAAGAATGTGAATTGTTAGGGAACGTGACCAATGTGACTTTATATGATGTCAGCTCTCTCTTTTTTCTTATCCTTCATATTTCAGACTAATCAACGAGCTTTTGTTGATTTCTTTGACTGAAACAGCTTGAAGAAGAGGGAATCATGACTGTTAAATTCAAAGAACCCATCGCAGCACAAGCTTGTATACTTGTAAGCATCTCTTTTCTCAAGAAAAAAGAAACTCCAAAGAAAAAACACTGAAGATTAAATCTTGACTTTTCCTTCACTAACAGAAAATGAACAATCGATTCTTTGCTGGTCGACAAGTTCAAGCTATGATAGATGATCGATCAAGAAGATTTAAAAAATCAAATCATCATCAATCAAATGAAAAAGATGGAGAAGAAGATGAGAAGAAACGATTAGATGGGTTTGCCAAGTATCTTGAATCGGCTGAATGATTTAATTGAGCGGTTTTGTTTGTTTTGTATGATACATAATTCATAATATCAGTTAGTATTGAGAGATTCATTTGGAAGATTTTTTACCTCTTTGAAAGTTAGGTATATGAATTCTTCGTTTTGTTTGATGGTAAATATGTAAATAGAGATGGATTTTTCTGATTTCTTTGTCCTCTAATTCACTGATTCCTCACCTTTGATCTCATGGCAAATCTGTGTCCTCAAATTCAACTTGACCAGTCAAGTTATTGCTCGCAGAAAGAAAAATTCGTGTTTACGTTGGATTTACATGTCTTGTTTGATTCATAGTTTTGTTACATGAGATACAAGAAAATGAAAAGCAACCAGATCACACCGCCGGCCGTGGGCAGCTTAACAACCCAGTAATCAAACATTGGATCAGCAGCCCAAGTTCCATGTTTCACCTCACTGCATACATGATGTCAAGTTCGTTTGTCGTCTTACCGAGACGTCACTCTACTGCTTTCTGTGGTTGATTACTGAGGGAAAGACGTCGCTACTTAGTGATCCGAACCGTTTGCGCCCGCGGTGGTTGGGCCACCTTCTTTGATCTGAAATGATGTGAAGTAAACAGGAAAATAGGATCCATGAATTGGTCATCGCTAAGGAGACTTTTAAAGAGGGATTTAGCAATAAGGATGCTACGAACCAAGTCCCTTGTAATTTCAATCAACGACCCAAAAATGTGGTCTGATTTACTACGTCAGCTATCAGGTAGCAAGAATGGCTGTAGAGCTCCCTCACTTACCAATGATCTCCTCTGGTATAGATTCTCGAATCACCATACGCAAGATTTCCTCGTTCTCAGAATCCGGAGGGAGTGCATAATTTGGAGCTATAAGAATTAGAAATGAGAATTCTCTAAATGAGTGAAAGACCGTGAAGCCCAATGAAGCTGGACCTGGGTATTAGTTTGAAGTCACTTACAGTGCCAGCCTTTGGCGCGTAATAAAGCTAATGGGTTTGTTCATTCCAATGTTTTTATGATCAAAATTCAGAGCTACTGGAGATAAGTAAATACCACTCACTTTGAATCCACTTCTGCTTCAGGTGAGGGTACTATGTGATACGCAAAAATGGAGTGCAAATTTGATGAAGACTTATAAAACTATGCATTAAGGATAAATTCTAATGAGATATACCTTGGCCTTAAATTCATCACTCCATGCGAACGCGACTAAAGGCAGGGCCTCTACGTATTCCTCGAACTAATTGTGATGATGGATAGTTTCAGCTTTCTGCTGGTAAAGAGATCTCTCAACATAAGTCTGCTTACATTCGCATCAGTACAACCAAATGTTTGTCCTCTGGGCTTCCCAACATCAGTCTTTTTGCGATGTACATCTGAGACGACTTTGAAGTAACCACTTTTCTCCAAGGCTCGAGATAATAACCTTGCGTTAGATAGGTCTGCCAAAGCCATTGATTTATAACCTTCAAATCCCATTTGAAGAAAGTTATAATATTGATTGATGATAGGGTGTGCAGGACGTGAAAAGTTTAATGATAAAGTGTGTTGTAAAGATCCAAACTTCAAAGGTCAAGTCCAATTTTGAATGTACGTGAGCATTTCTGAATCGAAGTAGAACGTTTGTCATCTTGAATATTTAAGAGTTACTAACATATCTTATTTCAAAAGCCATATCTTTCGGGAATTGAGCGCTATCGCGCCAGATAACCCAACCACAGCCAACGTACGTCAAACCAAACTTGTGACCAGAGGCGTTGATCGAAACCACTCTCGCGATACGGAAATCCCAACATAATTCGGGATGCGCAAAAGGAGAAACAAACCCTCCGGCAGCCTAATACATTGCGACAAAAAGTGTAAGTGATTGGTAAAGCAAGTTCAAATGGTAGAGAAGTGAAGAGCTTTTGGACCCACTGCATCGACATGTATTGGGATTGAGATTCCAGTCTGACTCTCATAAGTGTCAAGAAGGTCAGACATCTCCTTGATCGGCTCGTAATGTCCCGTGTACGTGCTACCAAGGACCATAAAGCTATAGAGAACAACAAAATTAAAATCATCAGCATTCACAATCAGCCAACGGATCAAAAACTCTTACATTCCAATAGTATTTTCGTCTCTGAAAAGGAAAAGATAGGTGGGTGGAAGGTCAGATCAGCAGCAAAGTGAATCATGTTGAAGATTGTGTTGTGGTGATCAAGCTAACATATATTTCATTGCACGTCTTGGGTCAAGGCAATAGTTAGTTTCGTCCGAAACAGGCACCAATCTCATTTCGACATCGAAATAAGTAGCGAATTTCTTCAATGAAATATGAGCACTACAGTACATCATGTTTCATCATAAGCCAACGGGAAAAAAATTCATGGATTCTATGACTAAGATAGAATCTGATGACTTACTTCGCACCCATGACGATATTCGGACCAGGTTCGTGTAATGACTTTCCAGCAGCTCTACGTCTTTCTTGCCACTTTTTCTTCATACATAAGCCACCCAACAAAACACCTTCAGAGGAACCAGCAGTTGCAGTACCTGACCAAGATGAATAATAAATTTTTGATTTGAAGTCCCCCCAAAAGAAAACAATTTCCTGAGTCTTACCTATAGCATTTACAGACTGTGGTGCATGCCACAAGTCTGCAACTATATTTAAACAACGTCCATGCAGAACCTACAAAGAAATTAGGTCTGTAAGAGGATTTTCATCCTGATTTGAAAATTGAAACCCAAGCCAAGGAAGAAAGGCATACTTCTGTCTTGGTATGTCCACCCTAACAAATGATCAAGTGTTACAGCAGAACAAGATACCTCAGCACGCGGCGGGTACTGTCTCATTGAAGTGGTATGAAGAAAGAAAAGAACGTGTGAAACAAACCTGGTCGACTAAATTTTTGCCAATGTTTTCTATGCATAGCTTTGTTGCTTGAGGCTATGATGATAGAAACAGAGTTTAGGAACACTATGATAGCACGCTATTTAGTTAAACCAATTGGAAAGTGACTTGCTGGAGCCCAGTTGCCCCCAAAGGCCGTGGAGGCTAAGCTAGCATTATCCTTTGCATCAGCATCTAAGATCTAATCATCAGCTCCAAGACACATATTCCGGTCAGATCTTACGGGGTCAAATACTTCTTTCTACTTCAAAGGATGAAAGAGGACTGACATCATGGATAATTTGATATGCACCATCAGCATCAATCCCTTTCTCTGCCAATTTCAACTTCGGTAGCTCTTGGTTTACTGGGATTATGAGGTCATAGAGCAAAAAAACGATCAGAATTTTCAATTCATTTAAACCTTTATGCTTGGAAATTTATTCACAATATCGAGTTCCTAATGAACCAGGTCTGATCATTCCTATCTTTCCTGACGGTTTTCTGGAAGAAAGATACGTCAGATGGCGTTCTCTCTCAGATTGAATGGTCATTGGTCGACATCAGACAAAAAGAAATGTTGAGGAGATATTCATCTGCTCACTGATCTTCATTCGCTCTCACAGAAGCCATTATCTGTTCACTTCCAATCTGTCAAGCGCCATCAAAAAGATAAGTATATCTAGTTAGCTATATTGTATTTCTCGAAATCAACGTTCAAATAGGGGTGATGAATTTGCGAACGAGATCATTTGATGGAGCCATGGCGGAGGACTAGGTAGAAAGAGCAGAAGAAAGGCGAGGTGGTCGGGAAACGTTTTCCGGTATGATGTAGCTCACATTATATGAGGTCTTCACCCCTTGTCTGATAGATTGGAATGATCTGTAAAGTTTAGACCTTCGAATCACAAACCCCCGAACCCAACCCACATAAATGTTGGTATTTATCGTATCGCCAATCCGAGATTAAAAGTCCCATATTGGTTCAGCCGATCCGATATGAAGACTGGTTAATTTCTCATATCGGGTATTGGCGACACGATACATTAGGCCACTCGAAATGCTCGATCACAGGTCTTTTGTGCCGCTTTTACCAGATTGTGTCGCATCGTATCGCTTCAGCGCTGCAATATAGCTGACAAAAGTTACATTTCCCCACATCCTATCGAGAGTTGATCGAGATATATGGGTAGCATGATACGACAGGAAAAAGGTCAGGTATCTCGTATCGTGTCGGGTTGGTTACAAGTAGGTATTTGGTCTGAAAACAGAAGTCAGCATTAAGCAGACAGGTGATAGAAAACTGTAACGAATCCGATTCCGCTGACTGACTCCTTACTCGACTTATGAAGCCGTCAAGGATGTTCGTTAATGATTGAGCCTGATTGAGTCCATGACGCATCGATCTTCGCCAAACTTGCCCGAGCCCACCCTGGAGCCAGTCGCGTGAAAACGACCAAAAGGTGACCATCAGCAAACCCCTCTATAAAACTGTTAGATGACAAATGATTGATAACTTCATCCCATATTCAATTCTCATTCATCTAATGTCGTCACACGTATTCTGTTTTATTTTGATGATAAAGGGTTTCAAGTTCGAAGTTTTTACGCCTCCATTCCTCGTGAGGCGTGTAACAAGTAAGGTGCACTAGAGTGCTCTTGTTACTCTTTTCGCATTATTTACAACAACTTGTCCGTTGTTGAAAAATCGGGGAAATTTTTGGAACCGACTTCACACCGCAGTAAGCACACGGCGTTTTTCTGAAGATAAAGATCTCTGGAAACTTGTCCGAAGTGACGTAAGAAAAATTGAACTCGAAAACTCTCAGACCTTCTCAGACTCGACGATTTATGTTATACGTAAATTTTGCTAACCATCCATCCGATCAAACTTTTCATCATTGGTATCATCAAAAGGGTCGAGTGACAAATGCCATCTTTCATCAGGTAAGCTTGGCTATATCGTCTGATCCATACATTGCCGCACTGACTATAACACCACTTGAGACATGCTCAAGAATCTGACCCATGAGCAGTGAATATAACTCTTCTGTAACCTTTCTGCACAAGCAAGCTGCATAGACTGAGCACGCCCATAGCGGATCTCAATATCTTGATCATGTAATGTTTTATCATTATCGAACATTGTTGTGAATTAATTCCTTTTTACTCGATTTTACATAACTGGAAGTCTGTAGCGACTCAACAGGCGCACAAAAATATGACAGTCGTTATCAGTACAAAGTTTGGCGCAATGATTTGACATTAAATTCAATTTGATCACGTCCTGAGGTTTGTCTGACTAACTGGTCCGACTTGCGGGGAAACATTTTTTTTGCACATTGAATGTAGTCCTGTTGTAACCTTTCTGCACAAGCAAGCTCCATAGACTGAGCTCGCTCATAGAGGATCTCAATATCGTGATCTTGTAAAGTTTTATCATCATCAATCATTGTTGTGAATTCAGTCCTTTTATGCACTCGCTTTTACATCAGTGGGAGTCTGTAGCAACTCGACAGCTAAACAAAAATATGACGCTCCGAAGTTTGTTGAATAGATTTGACATAACATTCAATTTGATTGCGTGCTGAGGTTTGTCTGACTACCTCGTCAGACTTGTAAACACCTCGGGAGGTTTTACGGATGACTCGGTCAGACTTGCGGGGAAGCATTTTTTTCCATCGCACGGTTAGTAGTGGTGTGGCGTTGGAGAAGATTGTAGGATATAAAGTTTTGTCAATCCTCAGACTGCAGTTGCCACACAATAAAATTAATCCCTTGTCTTTCTTCAATTTTGGATTCTTTTCGCCAATTTTTCATTCCTGGACAGATAGATTGCAAGCTATTACTTTGAAATTGTTGTCACTCATTTCATCTAGCACAATAAACAATCTATCAGGCTCATCCCTACCATACAAGAGCAAACAATACAATCTGTTGATCTACACTTTTTATACAATACAAATCTCTTCCTGAAGATCGCAACCAACCCTGCTCAGAAAGAACGTGAAATAGATTCTGATTTGTAAGTCAACTTCAGTTGACTAGAAGTCTGATATCCGCTAGAAATATATTAAGTTGAGAATTCTCTTCTCAATCAACAGATTTACAACAACATCATGACTGAAATCAATATAAACAAAGCTGGAGTATTCAAGACAAAGATTGGGAAAATTGTCCTCCTAGCATTACTCAGTAAAGAATACCTGGTGAATGGTAGGCCTGTCAACTTGGTCCCCCTTTCTGCTCATTCAGATTCAGGAAGTGCTTCAATGCTTGCTCCGGCTGCTAAAGCCACAGTGCAAAATAGTTCTGCGACTCACAGTATGGAGGATCGCTTAAAAGAAGCTCAACTCTTTGCCAAGCAAAATGAACACTTTGATGAGAAGATGTATATCCCAAATGAAGATAAAAAGGAGGAATCTGATCTGCCAGCCATGAAGACAGGAAGGAAATTATTAGGTTATCGGCTTGTCAATGATTCAAATGAGATGCCTGGTTTTGTGCCAATCTTGTTGCTGGTTGTCATAGCGGCAATATTTGTGAGAGTACAATACTTTGACAACCAGCCCCAAGGGGGAAATAGGCGTGGTGGTGGTGGTGGGTATCCAGGGGGGTATGGGGGTGGTGGTGGGTACCCTGGGGGCTCTGGGGGGTATGGGGGTGGTGGGGCTTGTAGTGGTGGGGCTTGTGGAAGACGTTGATTCTCATAGATTATATGGTAAATCAAGAGATGATATGTTGCTATAGGTTCTGTCCTTTGATTTGTCTTATTCAGGTAAACCTTACAAATTTCATGATCTCTTTGTGAATGATAAATCTTTCCTCTTACTACGTTCTCTCTATAAATCCTCCTATGAGTTAGCACCAAGCTTTCGAAATGATCCAGAGTTTCAAAGCTTACATTCCTTATCAACAAGCCAATTATTGATGCTTGTAATTCTGTGCATTACTTGTATGTTTTTAACTCTTTTTGTCTGCTATGTGTTGTTCTGTCCTGTGTTGCTTGCTTTGATAGATACACATTGTTGTCTGTTCCAATGCATCAATGTTTGATTGGCAAGCTAGCTATTGATCCTTATAATTTGTGCATTACTCAGACATTTTGAGCCTTATTTGTGAGCAATTCCCAAGATCACATTGTGTAATTTTGGTACCCTATGCATACTGAGGTAAAGGTGTGTGCTGTGGATTGTTTGTCAAAGATGATGGTTGTGCTTGGTTATTCTCAACTTCTGATAGAAATTCTTTTCCATTCAATCAGTTGTACATTCATTATCACAGTCCAAATTCATAATAAGATGGAATCAGATAAAAAACATCCAGGTGGTCTTGATGGGGTAAAAGAGTAGCATTTGTATGCTGACTTCTTCACTTTTCCCCAGGGGGCATGGATCACAGGGGCCAAGATTGATGCTCAGAACTATGTGAGCATTGTGGAATTTTCTGAAGTCTCCAAAAAAGATTCATTTTGTTTCAGATTGATTCAATTCATGAGTTTGGTAGTGTTCAGGCAATCAGGCTGTTTTGCTCACATTTTGCTTGGCGTTCCTGGAGAATGCTCATTTTCATCTTGGATGAGCATTCTTTGGGCTCAGTTTCTGAGGTGAGTATTCAGGATCCACTCATAAGGCATACTCAGAATAGCTCAGAACCTCTCCAATATGGAAACAAACTCATTTTTTTCACCACCCTTCCCAATACATGTCAGCACTACACCACAAATTTACCCCGCTTTTGTTGAAATTTGGTTTGTGGGGTACCCAAGAATCACAGCCGGAACCCGGCTCAAATTCCGCGGGTTTTTGAGCAGAGACTGGTTTTTTGACAGTTTGAGTTTGATATGTATCCAGTCAAGATGTGCTCCGAAACCGAAAATCCGTCGGATACTCGACGGAGCATCCGACGGTTCCGGATGTCGGATGAGGCCTTGGAGCTATCCGGTTCCCGGATACTCCGGCCGGTTCGGTTATCGGATGAGGGGGTCAGAAAATGCGATATCCGTCGGATATCCGGCGGATATTTGCATATCATTGCAGTCTCAGGTAGCCGTGTGTTTACATCAATTTAAGGAAAAATATTGAATAAAAAGGGAAACAAGATGATAAAAAAAATAAAAACTAATCACTATCATCCTCAGCATCACGGCTAGGTTTCAAAGGGCCAAACACCCGATGCCAATCTTTCACACACAAGAGAGCCTCAACGTGTAAGGACGCGAGATTAGTACGCTGAGGCCCCAAGATCCTTTTTGTCTTGTTAAAAATCCCCTCCGACGGACAGCTAGTTGCTGGAATGGCAAGGAAGGTCATGGCCATTTTTGCCAATGCAGGATACATATCGCTACCACGTTTTTTCCAAAAATCTAGGACCTTAGTGTCGCGGGATTCGAGTTTATCGTTGAGATATTGAGTGATCTCCGCACTGATCGAATGGTCCTGTGGAGCGTCTGGGGCACCAAAAATAGCGTCTTCGAAGTACTCGGAAGTAGACGTTGCAGTGGATTTCCTGGTGGTAGTTGGAGTGGGCATTGAATCATCGACTTCATATTTCAAGGCCTCTAGTTCAAATGTTGACCTGATGTCTGAAGTAAAGAGGTCGTACTCAGAAAAAAACATGGATCGTTCCTTTTGGTAAATGAGACATACTTCCTGATCAGTACAACCTCAAAGTAAGATGAGTATTAAGAAACTCACTTGAAAATAGCTCATTTTGAGGCGTGGATCCAGGAGGGTAGCACAGACTGGCGCAGGTTTAGTAAGGACTTTCTTGAAGTAGTCTTCAAGTTTTGAGATCATGTTTTTAGACGCGGGTTGAAGTTGATCGTGATCGTATTGATGGCGTACCTAGATGTACATTAAGTCACATTAGCCAATTATAATTAATGTGTATTTAAAATCAAAAAGATACAAATACTTACTAATCTTAATTTTTGCAAGATTGCAACATACAAAGGAACAACTTGATGCATTGTTGGATACTTTGACTTACAGAGTATGTCAGTTGCTTCGCTCAGAGGTTCCAAGAAGTTGCACATTTGTTTGACGTAATCCCACTCGAGCCCGGAGAGCGCATACTTTTTGTACTCGTTTTGCAGGCAGAATTCATCACATGCTTCTCGTAGACGCAAAAGTCTTCGAAACATGTGATATGAAGAGTTCCATCTGGTGGGAACATCGACAATCAGGCGAGTTGCAGTTTCAGCCGGGTTTGTTTTTGGGGGTGGTTGAACATTGTCGACAGTAGGATCATCTAATAGATAATCGAGAGCCTCAGTGTCAGCAGGATCAGAATTATCAGTATCAGGGTCGGCTTGGGCTGATGGAGGATTCGCAGCTGGATTTCTTTGAGGCTGAGGATTGTTTCTTGAAATCTGATTCTTCTTCGCAGCAGCAGCAATAGCACGCTTGAGCTTGACAATATCAGCGAAATGTTGACCACGTTGAGGGCTGGACCGAGTACAAGTAACTAGACCATGGCATCGATTGTAGATGGTCTTGAGGTTTACTTGAGTCACGTCGGGTGGGTCGACAAGGTTGTTAATATCCATTAAGTTTGATGAATCTTGCTCTTCGTCCTCGTCGAGAATTTCACCAAAAACCTTCAGTCCCTCTTTTGCAGCTAGGTTGATAACGTGCGCCACGCAACCATGGACTTGTTTCGTGTGATCGAAAGTGATACCATCTGAATTTGAAAGGACTCGACCTATAGCAGCGTTTGTACCTACATTATCGGCAGTCATCGCACACAACTTATCGGTAAGTTCATACTTGGTAAGATATTCGATGATTAAACCGGCAAAGTTATCGGCGTTGTGTGCACCTGGAAGATTGGGTGTCAGTCAGCTTGAGTTGATCAGATCGATAGAAAACAAGATACACTCACCTTTGATTTCCGCAATGCCAAGAGTCAGGTCCATAAGTTCCCAGTTCTCCGTTATAAAGTGACCAGTGAGCGACATAAACGGCTTATTATTTGGAGATCGTCCATGCGTTCTTGAGTAATGGCGATGC